GGTAATCCGATTATCCTTACGTAATAATTTTCGAATTACCTCGTGACCTTTGAAGGAGGAACGGAGACGGAGCTATGGCGAGAACAAACGGGCGAGACGGAGATAGAGAGCTTTCAAGCTGACGCTTCTCGCAGGAGATAAACGGCTCAAAGGGAACACGCGAATATGCTATTTTATTCCCGAACGTAACTGTTTAGTATTATTTTATTTCGCAGTTGCGAAACGTCTTTGTATATAGCGGGTTGGAGCTTGTTTTAGAACCTGGAAATTTCCTTCATTTCCAGTATTTTGGAATAATTATTTAAAAAAAAAACATGTTGCTCGTATAATACACACAACTCGTTTTAAAATGGAGTAATCTGGTGGAATTCGAACGTGTTTTATTAACCCGGAGCGCACTTATGCCACACTGGCCTTGTACAACATACATATTCGGTTAATTAGTTAATGCTCACCCCGGGGAAAATTCAAACAACATGAAATCATCACGTCCTTTTCACTCTCCATCATCAAATTAGCGTGATTATAATTAAACAACAGACCAGTTCTATTCACAATAGCGTTGGTGGAATTGCAGCATTGCGCCGTGAATTCAACGGAAAAGTTAGTTTCGAGGTAATAAATCGCCGGAAAATTCTAATCTCGCCTCGAAAGCCAAAAGAAAACCGGGCAACTAATAAATAAAGCAACGGCAATAATCCCGAAACCGAGTTATGAAACCGTGATATTAACCCGCCGGTAAGCCCAGTTTAACTTTCTTTTGTCGAGTTCGGGTTTTTCCGAGTTTTCCTCCGGGGTCGCGCGGGCCTTTGGCCGAACGATGGTCAAACTCCCTCGCCGGGATGCCCCGCCATAAATCCGGAAAGGCCCGTAATTCTTCCTCGCAACTTTTAACAAATTCACTTACAGCTCGAACTGTCGCTTCTCGTAATGGATGAACTTTTTCTTAGATCAACTCCGGACCGCGCAGAGCGGTACTCGCGCTTTTTCCCCTACATGAATATTTCTAACCTAATCTAAGTTGGGAAATTTTAAGTTTGAAATTTATCGACTCTCTTGGGTGTGCCTTGTGTTACTGACTTGCTTAGATAATTGTAGCTCTTGGGTAGATAATCTATTAGGAAGATAATTGACTCTTTTTTGTGTAGATAATTGATTGTTTTGGACAGATAATTGACTCTATTAGGCGCTCAAATTATCGTATTGGTTGGACTAAAGAGTACAATATATTTGCTCTTCTGAGTAAGTAAAAAATCCTTTTATATAGACAACAGATTCTTACACATATAATTGACTTTCTTAGGCATATACTTGATTTTCGTTCGATAAATAAGTAGTCGACTCTCTTGGGCGCATACTTGACTCTCTTTCAGGAATATACTTTTGACTTTTTTGGGCATATACTTGCCTTTCTTGGACGTATATTCAATCCTCTTGGGCACATACTGGAGTTCATTGCAGAAATACTATTAGACTCTCTCGAGCATATACTTGTCTTTATTGGGCTGCTAAGTTGACTCACTTGGATAAGCGCTTGATTCTCTAGGACAAATACTTGACTCTAGTGAGCTTATAATTGACTTTATCGCATAAAAACTTAACCCACTTGGGCGTATACTTGACTCTATTGGACGTATATCTAATCCTCTTGGGCATATACTTGAGTTTATTGCCAGAAATACTATATAGACCTGTCAAGTTGACTCTCTTGAGCATGTGCTTGACTCTCTAGTACAAATTTTTGACTCTCTCGAGCATGTAATTGACTTTATCGCATAAAAACTAGACCCATTTGGGCGTATACTTGACTCTATTGGACGTATCTAATCCTCTTGGGCATATACTTGAGTTTATTGCCAGAAATACTATATAGACCTGTCAAGTTGACTCTCTTGAGCATGTGCTTGACTCTCTAGTACAAATTTTTGACTCTCTCGAGCATGTAATTGACTTTATCGCATAAAAACTAGACCCATTTGGGCGTATACTTGACTTTATTGGACGTATCTAATCCTCATGGGCATATACTTGAGTTTATTGCAGAAATACTATATAGACCTGTCAAGTTGACTCTCTTGAGCATGTGCTTGACTCTCTAGTACAAATTTTTGACTCTCTCGAGCATGTAATTAACTTTATCGCATGAAAACTAGACCCATTTGAGCGTATACTTGACTCTATTGGACGTATCTAATCCTCTTGGGCATATACTTGAGTTTATTGCCAGAAATACTATATAGACCTGTCAAGTTGACTCTCTTGAGCATGTGCTTGACTCTCTAGTACAAATTTTTGACTCTCTCGAGCATGTAATTGACTTTATCGCATAAAAACTAGACCCATTTGGGCGTATACTTGACTCTATTGCATAATTACTATACTCTCTCGGGCATATACTTTACTTTAGGCACACAGTTGACTTTCTTGGACAATTAGTTAATTCTCATTAGATGCACAATTTACTCCCTCTAACTTCCTCTGTTCCAATAACCAACCATTTACTCGCAAAAATAGTAGAGCTAGAGCACAGACAAAATTATTATAAAGTGTCTAATAGATAGTTGGAGGTAAAACCTGTTGCTGCATGAACGTTTAGGCGCTATCATTCGGGCCGAGGACCGGTCTGTCCCAACGTTCGTGGCGTACCTGGCGCGCCGCCGAAATTTCCGCGATCATCGAACGAGCTTTACATAAAGCTCCGCTCCGCCGAAGCTCGCTCCCTTTATTAGCGAATCCGGATACGCGGACCAACAGGTGCGCCGTAAAGTCGGCAGATCGATCACCGGACGCTTTTTTTTTTGTTGTTGTTGTTTCACCCGGACGAAACGAAAGCTCGCCGGCTTTTGTGCGGGATAGGCGAGCTTTTGTATACAATAATTCTTAATATTAAACCGTTAACATAAATATTTCTAACCTAATCTAAGTTGGGAAATTTTAAGTTTGAAATTTATCGACTCTCTTGGGTGTGCCTTGTGTTACTGACTTGCTTAGATAATTATAGCTCTTGGGTAGATAATCTATTGGGAAGATAATTGACTCTTTCTTGTGTAGATAATTGATTGTTTTGGACAGATAATTGACTCTATTAGGCGCTCAAATTATCGTATTGGTTGGACTAAAGAGTACAATATATTTGCTCTTCTGAGTAAGTAAAAAAATCCTTTTATATAGACAACAGATTCTTACACATATAATTGACTTTCTTAGGCATATACTTGATTTCCTTCGATAAATATGAAGTCGACTCTCTTGGGCGCATACTTGACTCTCTTTCAGGAATATACTTTTGACTTTTTTGGGCATATACTTGCCTCTCTTGGACGTATATTCAATCCTCTTGGGCACATACTGAAGTTCATTGCAGAAATACTATTAGACTCTCTCGAGCATTAAACCGTTGATTTTGTGTAATTAAGGGGTCTTTATAGGGGTATTATTTTGTGAGGTTTAGGGGTTGGAAATATCTTTTTCGAAATAGTTGTTCAGTTGGTAGTATATTTGTGAAATTAAGAGAGTAGTGTAAGGTAGGATTTTGGTTGATTTAGGGGTAATTTAGGGTTGAATAAACAACGCGGGGTTCCTGTCTCTGAGGGGGAGTTTGTTTTGATCCCGATATCGGAAACAATGTAGGAACAGAAAGTGGATGACGAAGCTTTATCCGGGGGATAGGGACTTTATGCGGTAGAGTCTCGAGTTTTACGACGACTCGAAGAAAACTCTCCGGTTTCGGGGTGTAGTTTGAATAGAGCTATCCCCTGTCGTTTTATGGTGGATGAATGATTCATTTGTTTGCCGAATGCCGTGCATTAAGGGAATTTCGATTATGATGTTTCTTGTGATTCTGAATAAAATCCGGATTCGAATCGAAGCCGGGCTTTGTGTGGTATTTTTCCTCTTCACTTTGTGCAAAAAAATGGTACAATGTTAACGGTAGGATGCGATGGCATTGTGGAATTCGAATTAATCTTAATTAGAAATTTCGCTTGATGGGAAATTAATTGGGTGTTTTATTAGCAGTACTCATGAGACGGAGCATTATCATATTAATTTCCCGTTTCGGCGTCGACGAACAAACGAATTATTCTGGGAATGTAAGTGCAATAGGAATATAAGCGAAAGCGCTGTATAAACGTTGCTTAATTCGATGCGAGTTGTTGGAATTGTACCGAAAACGTTGCTTAATTGAATTATTCAGTCGATTCGAAAGCGCTTTTCACGTTATATAGTTTTCCACTTCTTTCGTCACAAGCTAAATTGTAATTTGACTCCAATAAATTCCAAAAACTATTACCCTCGACATTTACATAATCGACTACCCCATTAACTAGATTAAAATTTTTAATATTATAGCCCGAATTTACCTGTCGAGGGAAAACTTGGGCGTATATTTTTAATTCTACGCGTACAGAAAAATCCTCTTAAAACGTTTCCCTCGTACGCAACAACAACTTCTCATCAACTTTATGAAAACTTCCTCTCCTTTCCGTTCGGCCGAGTTAATTTTCTCGTAAGAATTCCGGCGGCGCGTCGCGACGCGGACGAAAATAAAAACTCCCGAAAAAAAAAAAATTTCCCTCTCGGGATTGTTTATTTTTTTGCCGTCCTTTTCGCGTTTGTTTCATCGTCATCTATCTCCTTTTCGTCAAAATCGGCTCGGCGCTTTTTTTTTTTATTTTCGGCCTAACAAAAACTCCTTTCATGTAAAGCGGCGAAACGCGTAATTTCGTTAATGAACGGCTCCGTGTTTATCATTTCTCGGCCGATTTGAGATGATGAAACGAGCAATATTTGTTACAGCGGGCATTGTTCGAGGTGTTATTTTTGGCAATAAACCTATCCAGTTATAATTATTTTTCGAGTTAAGTACAATTCTATTGAAATAGGTAGAGATTACAAGGTTATTTATGTGCAATGATTGAGTGATTGGAGATGCTAACAAGTCATCATTTTGGTTGGATAAATGTAGTTAATCTATTCAGTTTATTTTTCTTTTTTGGTAGGTACAGTTCGATTGAAATAGCTATAGATTACAAGGTATTTATGTGCAATGATTCAGTAATTGGAGATGCTAATATGTCATCATGTCGGTTGGATAAATGTAGTTAATCTATTCAATTTATTTTTCTTTTTTGGTAGGTACAGTTCAATTGAAATAGCTGGAGATAACAAGGTTATTTATGTGCAATGATTCAGTGATTGGAGATGCTAATAGGTCATCATTTTGGTTGGATAAATGTAGTTAATCTATTCAGTGTATTTTTCTTTTTTGGTAGGTACAGTTCGATTGAAATAGCTGGAGATTACAAGGTTATTAATGTGCAATGATTCAGTGATTGGAGATGCTAATAGGTCATCATTTTGGTTGGATAAATGTAGCTAATCTATTCAGTTTATTTTTCTTTTTTTTGGTAGGTACAGTTCGATTGAAATAGCTGGAAATAACAAGGTTATTTATCTGCAATGATTTTCTTTTGAATGGGGAAAAGTAGGGAATTACCGGAAAATTCTACTTTCATTTAGTAATTAAATCTTTCATTAGAGAACATTTTTTCCAGATGTTAATTCTGGAAATTTGTAAAGCGACTGTTTCTCTTGGTATCTATCAAATTTGCTATCATACTTCAATTATAATTCACTATAGAGTAATTTATTTCTGTACGTAGTATAATTTACAAATACTGTACAATGTCAAATCGTTTATTATGTAAATTAATAAAAAAACCGCGACAATATAATACGTTACACATGCATAATATTAAATCTCTACTAACATTCATCAACATTAATATATTCTGCATATATGATATGCATTTATCAGTTCGATATTAACGATTGCTATAAATTTTCCCATAAGCCCTATACATCTATATGATCGCATTAAACGACGCCCGTGCGTAATTTATGTATAATTGATAGATGTTATCGAAAATTACCATAATTCGCCGCATGTAATATCACCACAAAACACTCAAAATAAAAATTTTTAATACATCCCAACCAGCTGATTGATTGATAACGAAACTCCATACTCAACACGTTATTTATCCACCGCCAAAGCGTACGTTGTTCTTGCAATTAGTTCCCTCTCTCGCGCTTCCATTGTATTTATCTTAAAGAAGATAAATCACCCGAAAACGCAACGGAATCCGGCGCAGATTCGCCGCGAAACAATAGCCGAAGGATACCGAGTAGCCGGGCCCGCCATCTTAGTTCTGTGATTGTTGAATTATCGCCCGGCCGTTCCGCAGATAAGCCGGTTTGTACGAAATGCGACAGCACGCCATTAGGGCGATGTTATGGCGTAGAAGAGTTAATCTCTCCGAGCATCAACTCTAATGGACCGCGCGACCCCGGTCAAATAAGAAAAACAAACGTTAATGGGATCATAATATACACCTAGATTCACTGGTGGTATTAGATTTAATAGACTTCGTGCATTGTTTCGTTGAACAACATTAGGAAGAGTTTAATGAACCAGAAGATTTTCCTTCCCTTAATCATACTACAAACTATAATCATACATCTCCATTAAACTGCCCCAGTAATCAACCTCAATTCACCATATCATCTAACAAAACTAACGATTTACTAATGGTCTCGTTCCAGAGCTAACCGACTAACCTCAGCAGCGCTAAGTTCCCGCGGGCTAGGCGTCGGGCGATGGGCGTCGCGACGACCGGACGACTGATGATGGTCCGCCGATGATGTATCCCATGGTGCAAACGCAAAAGCCAGACCGAAGGCGACCGCACATAGCGCTCATCGACGAGCAGCGGCTCCAGCCGCTCGAAGAGCAGGCCGCCCAATCCGACGAGGAGACCTTGGAGGAGGACGTCGCGTCGATCAAGAGGCGGCACCGGCGACCGTTGCACCGGCGGTTCTTCACTTATGTCAGGGAGGCTTGGACCGGCGTCAAGTCGGCTCTAGGTAATCGCGCGGGGATCTTGTGCATGCAGTTGGTACTGTTGTAGGACCGTGTTGATGAGGTATAAGTTGTGCATGAAGATATGGTGGTGTGTTCGGGGATAAAAAGGAACCTTAATGCTGTTTAGGATCATATTGATGAGGCTATGTATGAGGCATAAGGTTATGCATGGAGATGTGTTGCTGTTTTTGGGGATAAAAAGGAACTTTATTGATGAGGCTACGTAGGAGGTGCATGAACATGTAGGCCAACTTTTGGGGGTTATATAAAGATGTTTTTGATGGGGCTATTTGTGGGGTATAAGGTTGTGCATGAAGATAAGGTGGTGTCTTCGGGGATAAAAAAATACCTTATTGATGGTTAAAGAACTTGCTAAATGCTGTTTTGCATAGTTAAGCATGGAGATGTGTTGCTGTTTTTGGGGATAAAAAGGAATTTATTGATGAGGCTATATAAAGTTATATAAAGATGTTTTTGATGGGGCTATTTGTGGGGTATGGTGGTGTCTTCGGGGATAAAAAAATACCTTATTGATGGTATAGAACTTGCTAAATGGTGTTTAGCATAGTTAAGCATGGAGATGTATTGCTGTTTTTGAGGATAAATAGGAACTTTATTGATGAGGCTACGTATGACATGCATGAACATGTAGACCAACTTTTTGGGGATATATAAAGATGTTTTTGATGGGGCTATTTGTGAGGTGTAAGGTTGTGAATGAATATATGTGGTGGTGTCTTCGGGGATAAAAAGATACCTTATTAATAGTATAGAACTTGCATAAAACTGTTTAGGATAATATTGATAAGGCTATCTATGAGGTATAAAGTTATGCTTGGAGATATGTTGCTGTTTTTGGGAATAAATAGGAATTTTATTGAAGAGGCTACGTATGAGATGCATGAACATGTAGGCCAATTTTATGGGGATATATAAAGATGTTTTTGATGGGGCTATTTGTGAGGTAAGCATGGATAAATGGGGCTAAACGCCTAGTGTTTCGGTATCTTTTTTTACCGCATGTTGAAAGGTGCGCTTATGGATTCGATTGTGATGATTTTCCCAGTATCGATTGGAAATTTTAGGAATAATGGGTAAAATTAATTACAAAACGAACCGGATTAACAAGGACTCTGCTAATTATTTCTCCGTATATCTGCGTATCCGTGTACGTGAATTTTTGATACGCGAAATTCATATTCACGTTGATTGTCCGTTTAATATTTATGATAATTCAATTTGTAGTAAACTTTAATTAACTAACGAATCGATATAATACATTTCTATCATTTCAAATCGGACGAAACAATCGCGTCGCTAGAACAAAATATTTATTCATTACAAAATTAATGAATGCAAATATTTATTCGCGCGGCCAATCGAATGAGTACTGCTAAATTTAATCAGCAAACAATTTCGTAAAATGGAAACAATTTTCCCATCGAATTTAATTAATCGCCAGTACATTTTCTCCCATCTCCGATCCGTTTCCTTACGTTTTTCCCTTGTGTTCGGTTGATTACGAAACGCAGAATTAAGTAGATACACAAAATGTGGAAGAACAAACGATGTAGACAGTGCCAATTAAAGCGTACCGAATAGTTTATACAGTGCCAGTCAAAAGTCTATTACTTTTTTTGTAAATTTCATTAGAGGATGGAAAGGTAACGAGTTTTGTTACAAATCTAGAAATTTTATAAGTGTGCAACAAGAGGTTTATTATGGGTTGTAATGATTTTATTGTGTAGTTGTATGTAAGAAATAAGTTGTAAACTAATTTTGTGTTTATTTTTCTTATTTTTTTAGGGGAAAAATGGTGACTTTTGGTGAGCACTGTATATAAGTAATTTAGTCGAATAAGGGCGGATTTAGCGTTTGTTGGCTTCTCATTACGTTTTCCGTAAAAAATGTTAATTTTGTGGATGCCTTAAAAGGTAAAGGGCGCGTTCGACTTTTCTTCAAAGTAAAAAGCGAGCACTCGAGGAAATCCAGCGAAAGGCAGGAATTTAACCACGCAAGCAATTAACACATGCATCCAGATAATTTATCCAGCTTTCCGAGCCTGACTTTCGGCCGTTTCCTCGGCGCGTTCCATCCGGAAAAACCGGTCTCTTTCACTCGAATCAACTAGCCGCAGAGTAACCGAATTATCCATTCGGAATGAAATACGGCCGGACGGTGCATTTCCACTTCCACCCATCTTCTATTTCCCATCGACGTTCGATAAATATACGGCCTTTGTTCCGCCGGAATTAATTCGCGCGTTCGTCGTGATTTTTTCATGTTTTCAATCAACATTTGTGCCCTAGCGATTTTTTACCATTTCATCCCGAATCGCACGATGAATATCAGAAAAATTCATTAATTATCTCGAGAACTAAACTATCCGGGAGTTGTCAAGTTGTCGTTTTCCTGCTTGGAGGAAGTTTACCCGTCGCTAATCGAATGCTAATTAAACGTAGACTAGCAGGAAAAACGAGTCTACTGAATATAACGGGGTTCATTAATTCCGTCTAAACAATAAGTTCCACCGGTAAAATCCGGGAAACTTCCGCGATGAACCGTTTAAAATGGTAATGAGAAATTCATCTGAAGTTTATTTTTTTTGGTTTTACAATGCACCATCAAATTACAAGTGCAATCGTTCGGAAATTACTATCGCTAGAAGAAGAAAAAAACAGATATCGTTTTCCTCGTTTCAATTTGTCACGTAACTCCGCCGGAATAATTCGCTTAGATCCGCCGGTGGGGGCGCCACATTCACCCGGAAAACCGGTCGCTGGATGACGGGAGATACCGGCTGGCATTCCGACAGACGTCGCCTTCTATGCTCGAGTAAATGGCTCACGAACATCGCCTTTTCCATCTGGCTTAACCCAAAAATCATACCTCCAGGTGGATTTATTTCGCTCCGATAAATCACTGGATTATTTCAGTGCTAGAAATTCTCCAGGATCATTTACAACACTGTCTAGAACCTTTCAGAACGCTTCAGAACCATTAAGAACTATCGAGAACCAGTTAGAACGCTCCAGGATCATTTAGAACTGTTTAGGACAATATAGAACGTCCCAGGATTATTTAGAACCGTCTTCAACCAAAGATTTGGACTTAATAAGGAGAATAATGTAATTTTTCAACTGGAAAATCGCGGTTCTTTATTGAGAATTATTCACCTTACCTTTATATTCGGGTCTATTCTGTTTGTAAATAGCAATATGGTTATTGGCTATTTTGTAAAGATATTGTTATGTTAGCAATGTCCTAAGAAATAACCTATTCTGTTAGTGTAATTTAAACAGTATGATCTGTTATTAGTAGAGATATCTTGTTATAAACCTTGCTATTTGAACAATGTCATTTTTGTATTTGCTATTTGATGGCAATATGGCTAATCCGATCTTTTTTTATTACTATATGAGCTAAAAGAATTTACATTTTTTGCAAATACGAGATACAAGTAACCGCTTTGATTTGCTAAATGAAAAATTTATAAAACTTAAATAGGGCTACAGCTTTAAATTTAATTCAACAGTTGTTAGAAGTTCTAGAAGAACCATTCCGAAGAGATACAACACCTTTTCATCTACAAGTTGCGCTAGTTTAGAAATGTATGATAAAAATAATTACTTATATTGTTTTAGGTTTTTTAAATATTTTTTTATTTTTTTTAACTATTACTATTACTTCCATTTGTTCCTTGCTTGTTTTCTTTGTTTGTCTTTCATCATTTTATAAAAATCGCCTCCGCTTCCACCGCAGAAACACATAAAGAGCTGCCTTCAATGGAGTCAATTGTAATCGTAAAATAATAAATTTTAGGGAGGATTCTTCTTTTTTCGGTTATATTTAGATAATTACAATGTTGTCAGCTTTATTTTTCACTAATGACAGCATGTTTTTAGCAATATGGTTAAGCGTTAAAAATATAACCAACATTGCTAAACTAATCGAAATAGAATAAGAAAATTTTTGGCAATATTGTTACAACTTAAACATACAACAACATGGTTATCATAGCAACATTCATAACAAGATCCAAACAGAATCGACCTGATTTTATAGTTTTCAATATAATGTTGGACCTTTACTACTGAGTTATTCAGCAAGAGATAACTGATGGGAAATGAAAATTACGGTCTAGTATAACTGGCGCATAAATCGGATTTTATTGGACCGATTCGACGTTTCTAGATTGGATTAACACGTCGAAATGCTTTTTTAAATCGAAAGGACGTGTTTGCGTTTTCGCCGCGATAAAAACGATTAGCGTTTCGCGGACGAATCGTAAATAACGATTCTCGAATCTAATAGTTCCCGTTTTTCATCCCACGTTTATTACCCGGCACGAAAATAGAGACAATTACGCATAGGTAACCTCATTCTAATCGAGTAAATATTTTCGCGAATTAACTGCACGTATAATGTATTTTCGCGTTTATTTATTTACGTTATGTCTAAATTCTAAATAGAAAACGTATACCATATGGACCGGACGGTAAAAATAACCGCACAGGTGTTCGATTTTTCATATACTTTTCCCTTATCCTCCAGCCGAGCATTTTTCCCACTCCTCGAGCAGGTCCCACCAGAGAGCGAATTTTTACTCATCCACTCCATCATATTCGCTCGCATATAGTCCGGGATCGAATATACAGAGTGTTAGGCGCTATACATGTTGTGCTCGGGATTCCTGCAATCTGTAGTCAGAGTCAGCTATGAGGACGACAGCGGTAAGTCCCCGGGATATTTTATTCATGAAGTTTTCTGGGTGCTGATTTTCCGAATTTATTCTGGCGATTTGTCTCGCTGGAGAACCGGATTTATCGGCAATTAGGGGTCGTTTAAATTTCGCGTATATACAGCCTGGAAACGTTCCAAAAGTTTATTACAGATTGTCCGGATAATAGACGATGAAAAATTTAATCATTGACTCACCCTGTATACTACATCAAAAACATGTTTCAACTAAAAATACTCGCATACAAAATCGAAATATCACAAAATTAAACGTAGCAATAAAACTCTTTTTTTTTTGTTACCGATTTCATCCCTCTATTTCGGGTCCTTTATAACCAGTAATCCCGTTTCCGAGCGAATGGCAATTAATTATCATCGAAATTCAATCGAAAAGCGCACAAAAAAAATATTTCATCGGCGACATCGGGTCGGTAAACCGATTAAATTCCTTTCGTGTCGCGTCCGCGAGGACACGAAATCCTGGAAAAAGGATTCGTTACTTTTATTTGCGGCCCGTCTAAATGAAATATGAACTAGTTCTCGCTTTCCGCCGGGCCGATAAGGATTTTTGCTCGGGGAAAATAACAATCTGATGATGTTCTTAAATAACGAGGGGGAGCGGTTAATTAATTGGTACAGGATTAATTGGATTTTTTTGTGGTGGATATTTAATTTTGTTTGTAAAAAGTTTGTGGAAAGATGAGATTTTTGTGGAATTTTGGTGGATTTCAAGATGACGTTTCAAATGCGGTGGAATTACTGAGAAATTTTTTTTTAAAATGATGCAAAAAGTTGATTATTTTGTGTGTAGTAATCGGAAATAAAAATGGGTGTGATTTTATCGATGACCAAATTAATGCGGTTTTTATTATCAAATAAATTAGATTTGTTCTCAGAGTGATAGATCTGTCACCAAACGTAAAAAGTTTATTCTTTTATGCAAAACATTTTTGAGAGTGTATATACAGGGTGGTCCGTAAGTAATGGTCCAAAGTGAAGGGGAAGATTCTCGGCATCAAAATACTACGATCTAACCCACAAGTTGCTTTAGTAAAACATTGAAAATAAAAAAGATACAGAGTGTCAAAGTTGAAATCAAAAAAAATTATTTGTCGCAGCACTTTGAAAGATTTTTGGATGTACAGAAGTGAAAATTTGAAGACAGGTGTTTCAATACATGAGAAATCATAATTTAGACAATTTAAAAAAAGATATTTCAATTAATAAATGGCAAATTAATAATATGTAGAACATTTTTAAGAATGTGTATGTATAAATAAATAAATATATTCTCCACCGGCCATGATAAATTATTCGAGCTGTATACATATGAAACCTATATTTCGCATATGGAAAAGGAAACTATAAAATAATTAACGAATCCTCTTATTTTGATAACTAAATGAATTACATGATACTAATATATTGGCGACAAAAAATAGAATAAAACTTATATTGTAATAAGGTGTCTGATATATTTTATTTGGTGACAGATCTATTATTTTGAGAACACAGTTATTATTCTGAATATAATAAAGACTCTTTGGGCATAAGTTACGATGATTATTCGTTTATTTTGGATGCAAACTGTTACACATTTGGATACATATGTTTGGAGACAAATATATAAATCTGAGAAAAAAATATATTTCCGGGATTAAAACTAATAATCAGAGGATTTTGTTTGATGACAAATATTTATTTTGGTGACAAATAAAATTATTCTCAATAAAAATGTTTGTAAAATCAAAATCCATCAAAGTTTTTCTTGTAAAATCATCTGAAAAATCCACAATACTAATGTAGTATTGTAAAAAAAATTACATGTAAAACCAACAAAATTTCCATATACATTCCCATTGCCCGAATTAATCGCCAAACACATCTATCCCGTTTCCAGATTCCGAGCTCGAGGATTTGGAAACGCCGCCTCGCTACCGGCCCGACAGTTTGGAGGCCCTTTGCAGGGCCACTCGATTCTCCGAGGCCGAAATAAAGAGGATTTATCGCGGATTTAAGGCCGAATGCCCTACCGGCGTCGTCAAGGAGGACACTTTTAAGATGATTTACGCCCAGTTCTTCCCGCAAGGAGGTACGTACGACTGATTTATCTCCCTTATTTCGCCTCCTAACGAACGTTTCTAATTCCCGAAACGTCGAAAAAAAAAATATAATTAACTCGTTGGGAGAGCTCGAAAAGCTTTTGACGGACGTACGAAATTGCAATTTTAATTAGAATCGTGTTCAACTCACTATATGCATTCAGTATTTCTTTTCAGTACACGATTTTTCAGTACAAACTAGGTATAGGTAATTAACATACTGCTAATGTTGTAGAAAACTCCAATACATTTCCGCCGAATTTCCTCGGCGACATTCGGCCTTTATTTAACAACCCTCAGGCAGTTAGAGCGCCATTAGGCGAGAGCGGGGCGGGCGGCCCGATAATGGCGTTAATACGGGAGGCCATCCGGCGGGAGTTCGGGAATAAATGGCCGGCAATTTATGCAGATTATCCGCAGACGCCGGCCGTCTTAGCTGCAGCCGCGCCGGGCGTTTTTACGCCCCGCGGCCGCAGCGGCGCCCGTTCTTCCGGACAATTCGGTTCATCAACTCGCCGTTAACCGGACGGGATTCGCTCCGTAATTGAATTGTTTGTGGGGAATTCGTTGCAAGTGGAATGGAGCTGAAGTGGGCTGTAGATGGAGGTTTTGGGTTGAAGAAATCTAGGTTAGTCAGAAGTGGTGATCAGGAGTAAATTTGAAGATTATTGTGACTAGATTGAATGATAAAAGACCTAAATAACTTGAAACAACTAAAAAATTATTGGTAACTGAAGGATTCCTTATACATTTGCAGTACTCACTAGTAGCAAAGATCTTCAGGAAACTAAAAATCTGAATAGAACCGAAGAAAAAATTGTCACGAAATGTATAAAATGCAATTTAACAAACTCTTAATCACCTCTATAAAAAACCAACAAACTACCTAACTACGAAGAAAAAAAATTAACAGAAGCTCAATTCGAACTTTCCGGATAATCAGAAGTGAATTTGATGGGAATTGATGATTATTTTGACTAGATTGAATGATAAAAGACCTAAATAACTTGAAACAACTAAAAAATCTTTGGAAACTGAAGAATTCCTTATACATTTGCAGTACTCACTAGTAGCAAAGATCTTCAGGAAACTAAAAATCTGAATAGAACTGAAGAAAAAATTGGCAAGAAATGTATAAAATGCAATTTAACAAACTCTTAATCACCTCTATGAAAAAAAAACCAACAAACTAACTACGAAGAAAAAAATTAACAGAAACTCAATTCGAACTTCCCGGATAATCAGAAGTGAATTTGATGTTAATTGATGATTATTTTGACTAGATTGAATGATAAAAGACCTAAATAATTTGAAACAACTAATGGCAACTGAAGAATTCCTTATACATTTGCAGTACTCACTAGTAGCAAAGATCTTCAGGAAACTAAAAACCTGAATAGAACTGAATAGAAGAAAAAATTGTCACGAAATGTATAAAATGCAATTTAACAAACTCTTAATCACCTCTATAAAAAAAACCAACAAACTAACAACGAAGAAAAAAAATTAACAGAAGCTCAATTCGAACTTCCCGGATAATCAGAAGTGAATTTGATGTTAATTGATGATTATTTTGACTAGATTGAATGATAAAAGACCTAAATAACTTGAAACAACTAATGGCAACTGAAGAATTCCTTATACATTTGCAGTAGGTACTCACTAGTAGCAAAGATCTTCAGGAAACTAAAAATCTGAATAGAACCGAAGAAAAAATTGGCACGAAATGTATAAAATTCAATTTAACAAACTCTTAATCACCTCTATAAAAAAAACCAACAAACTAACAACGAAGAAAAAAAATTAACAGAAGCTCAATTCGAACTTCCCGGAGCTACATTATCGCCCGAAGCTCGAGAGAATGATCGAATTAGCGGAACAAAGTCCCCGACGCTGGGCCCGGGCATTTCTCGTCGCGAGAAAGAATTCAAATTTACCCCGACAGCCGTAATTAAGATTACGCCGGGTGTCAAAAACGGATAGAAGGCGATTTTTTTTGGTCTAGAAAATTTAATTTTCCGGAAGGCGATTCGACGAGACGGAATAACGAGGTGAATTTTTCAATGCGGGATTACATTTCTGATGGATTGTGTGCGCTTGATCAATCGAATGATCAATCAAAATGAATGAGTAAAAAATTTATTTACCGCGCGATATTTTAATGAACGAAAAAAATATAACGAAACTATTTATGATCTTTTACCTATTTACCGCGACTTTTACTGCCGCATTATCAACGAAAAAGGATATAACCTATTTAGTATATCTATAAACCGAGCAAATAAAGATGACCGTAAAAATGTTACGATGCATTTTTAGTATAAATTCTAATCTAAAAATGGGAATTTTGCGTCGCTCTGCGTGATAAGTTCCAAAGGGTATTTGCTTAAATAAAGATGATTGATACGTTGTTACTATAAAAGCGCCGTTTGTTTGTTATATACTCGCACAAAAATACATTTTCCGCACTCAACACAGTCCAGAATTTACTCGTTAAGAATTTATACTCCTTTCGCCATCAGGAAATACTAATAAAACCTTCTTGAAATGAACACAATAAAAGCAACAAGTTACTGAATTGTATGAACTATTTAATTAATAAATAATTCATTGATTCACTATTTTTTACTATACATACAAAAATAGATTTCTGATGGCGAACGGAGTATAGAAAATGATCACAATTTATGAGTAACAAATTCGACCAACTATTAATCACCAACTCTTCAACACTCGCACCATTTACACCGCTACCTGCGGCAAATAAATCACCAATAACAAAGACTTGATGAAAATTTCCAGTCCAGAATTTACTCGTTAAGAATTTATACTCCTTTCGCCATCAGAAAAGACCAATAAAACCTTCTTGAAAAGAACACAATAAAAGTAACAAGTTACTAATTTGTATGCACTATTTAATTAATAAATAACTCATTGATGCACTATTTTTTATTTTACATACAAAAATGGATTTCTGATGGCGAACGGAGTATAGAAAATGATCACAATTTATGAGTAACAAATTCGACCAACTATTAATCACCAACTCTTCAACACTCGCACCATTTACACCGCTACCTGCGGCAAATAAATCACCAATAACAAAGACTTGATGAAAATTTTTTCTCGCTACGTGCCCGGCGCTCTAATTGCCGGCCATATACCGGCGAAAGGGAAAAACGACCGCCCGGCGGGGCGCCGAAAGGAAAGACACATCCCCGCTCCGGGAAAATATTACCGATAGATTCGTTCTGGCGTAGATTGGAGTTTGATAACGTCGACGGACAAATTGGGGGCGACCGGAAACCGTTATCATTCAATTTGACGGGCGAGATATTGTCGGGAAAGCGGAGAGTTTTATTTTATTTTATTTTTTTTCGACTGGTTTCGTTCGCGGAATAAATCACGGGGGGGATTATCGCGTGACGGGGTGCAAAAAAAATCGCCTAATGTGTCTTAATATTGAATATAGTCGAATCGATGAAACTAGGGAGAAAATCTAATTCGTTATATTGATTTGTTACAGCGAACAGTAGCCAATACGCACATTACGTTTTCAATACATTGGACCAGGATCATAGCGGATTAATTAGTTTCGAAGTAAGTAATTTTTTACTCTATAAAATCGTAATTTAACACTGATGCCTCGATACAAATCGAAATAAAAATTTACGAATCCTTCGAGCGATTGCGAGGGCGAAAGTTTGATTCGAAAAGTTTTATTGAAACTCGCCGAGAGTTATTTTTCCGAGCGGATTATTGCCGATTTCGAACCAATTAAAATCGCGCACTTCGATGGGAACCAACAGCGAAATACTGCAGTTAAGCAGGTAAATGAAACAACGAGGGATGTTTTGTTTTCATTCGAAATAGTAAAAGTCGATGATGAATCGACGGGGTAATTCGATAGGAGAGATATGAAAGCGAAAGGGAACGGGAGAGGAGAGTGCGGACGCCGCAACAAATTCAATTAACGATTCGTCGATTGGATGAGCGTCGACTTTGAACGTCTATAAAGGAAATTCTTTATGAATTCTGCCCTTCGACATTCCCTTTTTCTCCCCACGAAAAATACTAAATTGCCTGTCGACGATCGTTTACCGAAAGCACCTTTTTATCTGACGTTTTATTTTGGAAATTAATTCTAAAGCACAAGGTTTTTAGAAATGTTCAAAAAATTTATAATTGGAAGTATAGTTGTGGGTGAAAGTATAATTGTAGGGAAGTGTAATTGTGAGGAAAGCATAGAATAAACCTACCTACTCCTATCTTGTAAAGTAAAGATGTGTACTAAGTATAGAGAAGATTCTAGAGAAAGTATAGTTGTAGAGAAAGTATAACTGTGGGGAAAGTATAATTGTAGAGAAAGTATAACCGTGGGGAAAGTATAATTGTAGAGAAAGTATAGTTATGGGTCGAGTATAGTAGGCAGAAAAGTATATCTGTTGAATTCGCCTTACCTATACCGATACTTAAATATCAAAACACGAGAAAATAAAAATCCGCTAATCGAATCGAAAAATATTGGGCTGAAATCCCATTTCCGGCGAAAACTTTTTTCGCTCCTTTCAATTACCGCTCTCCTCGCCGCCCTCGAGAAAAATCCCGCCGTCGAAAAAAAAAAGGTCGATTAAGCGCGACTTCCGGCTTTTTCGCAACCGATTCGCGTACTACGAAAAATGGAAATTCGCCGATTCGCACGGACCCAATTGCCGCTTTTTAAACTCGAATCGACGCCGTTAAACAATAGGGAAATTTCGATATGCTTATGTAGATACTTTTTTTTTTACCTCTCTCTTTCTCCCTAATTCGATTCCGCTCTTTTGTTCGATTTATTGTAGACATTTCAAAGTGTAATATGCAGTGAGTTTTAACGTTAAAAGTGTGAGTTTTACAATGTAGCTGATTTTATTGTCAATTAAAAAATTGAAAGTATAATTATAGAGGAAGTATAATTGTGGAGAAAGTATAATTGTACATATGACTTTAAAAAGTTTTACAATGTAGCTGATTTTATTGTCAATTAAAAAATTGGAAGTATAATTATGGGAAAATATAATTATAGAGGAAGTATAATTGTGGAGAAAGTATAATTGTGGAGAAAGTATAATTGTACAAATGTGTAGTTATGTCAAAAGTGTAGTTGTGGGCAGTGTTGTTAAGTAGTTAACTACAAGTAGTTAAAAATGTAGTTCAACTACTTTTAATGTATTTAAATAACCAACTAACTACTTTTATAAGCTCAGGAACTTAAATACATTTAACTACATTTTTTGTAGTATTTAACTACTTTATTTAAATACGTTTTCAAATAATTTATTCATTCTCTAAGCAGGTAACTTTCTGAAATTTTTGAAAATATAATTTTATCCTCTAAAAGTTAAAATTTTTTAGATAGATACCTGAATTGTTGTTTATGATCTACTCTACAAAGCTTATATAAATCCCTTTGCCCTTATTGGAAACGAGCTTATTTTAAATTAGAGGTAAATGCCCCAATTCGTGGAATTTTGTCATTACAAATTTAGTTTTAAATACTTTTAACTACAATTCCGAATATTTAAATACGTAGTTAAATACTTTAGAATAAATTGTATTTAAGCCGCATTTAAATACATAAAAAAAGGAGTTTTAACAACACTGGTTGTGGGGAAAGTGTAGATTAAAATTATCTCTCATTTTATAACGTTTTGATTAATTCTCAGCGACAAAATTTATTTAAATTCCTTATGAATTACGCTCAAGTGATTAATTGTACTTCTTTACTTGTTTAAAGCGTAGTTGTAGAGACAGTATAGTTAAGGAGAAAGTATAGTTGTAGAGAAAGTACAGTTGTAGATAAAGTATAGTACCTAGTGGGAAAAGTATAGAATAAAATAGCTGCGCCCTAACCCTTTACAATTGATGAATTTTGCTTATCCACTTGAAGTATTCTCTACGCGATAGTGTAGTTGTGGGGAAAGTATATTTGTGGGGAAAGTATAGTTGTGGGGAAATTATATTTGTGGGGAAAGTATAGTTATCATTCCATTCTATGTTGCGATTAATTCTCGGTTTGTATCGGGGAAGTGCAGACGAAATAAATTAAGATAAATTTCAATGCTTCTGTCGTAGGAAATCCTTTTTTATAACGCCACCCCAGATCTCCGTAGATCTCCGGCTGCGAATATTCGTTTCGAGCCGGTGTTGTTGTCCTAATGGCGCGCGAAAGATTGTTTTCGTTAACGATCGACACGTCTCCTTCACCTAATTAAATCCGCATTCGCGCGGATTCTCCGCGAGCGGGGTTAAAACGTGAATACGTGACCTTTGAGGGCGAGTGATAACGCATTCGCCGCGTCTCGCATTATACACGTTCGGTGCTTTTGTGTGTGAGAGAATTCACGTAGGTTATTTCCTTTCTTCTCGTTCGGTACATCTCTCGAGTGTCTTTCGAATTTCTGTCCGTCATAAACAGACGGTTTGATATTTTAAACAATTCCGTTTTGATGGAAAATACATGTTTGAGTATTCTGAAATAGGAGTCGACATCATTAGGGGGCGCGTTGGATATTCGGGCGGTGGAGCTGCTGAATGTGAGGGAGGGTGGGTTTTATGTTTTGTGGAGATTTTACGCGGCTTTGGATGATTTGTTCATTTCTGGAATTTGGATGAAATTTGAATTAAATTCGTTTTTGTGTTGTGTACAAAAGCGAAATCAATATTTTTATTCTTAAAATTTTTTGTCAATTTTTAGACAAGAGAATGATTTGCAAACAAAATCCTGGATAATTTCAATACCTAGTAATTTAATTTCATGTGGTATTTGCAAAATATTCCGAAATTTATACTTACATAAATTCGTTTTTGTGTTGTTATTGCGACTTACAAAAGCGAAATCAATATTTTTATTCTTTTAAAATTTTTTTGTCAATTTTTAGACAAGGGAATGATTTGCAAACAAAATCCTGGATAATTTCAATACCTAGTAATTTAATATCATGTGGTATTTGCAAAATATTCCGAAATTAAATTTCTACTTAACATAACGAATTTGTAAAATATGGATATCATTCGGATTTTCCATCATTCATTTTTATTACATATCATACACGAAGTATTTTCAATATTTTTATGTGAATTGTCGAGTTGTATAAATTTCCCGGGCACAAAAAAAACCACTCCTCTTTCGCCGGGAAAGCCTCCGCAATATTTCCAATGGAAGAAAAACAAAAAGGCCATAAAGTAGCTACACTTCGATCCAATAACCGTCCTTTTGATCGAAAATAACTCCTTTTACTTTTTTCATCGATTCCGTAGCCGGTCATATTTTAAGAATTTACGGGCCCCTCTGCTTTGTACCCGTTTCAACCTAAAAATAATCCGACTGATATTTTACAATAAGCATACCAGGGTGCATCTAATAATTCTCTCTACATACAGGGTGGCACATTAGTATGGAAAAGTTTAATATATCTGTTATTATAGAAGATATCAAAAAAACATCAGTACAAAAGTTGTAGATCTTTTTAAGATGCATATTTTAAAATTAGTTACATTTATACAGAGTGCCCCGTTATTCCGTGACAGACCAAACTTATACTTTTTTTAATGGAACACCCTGTGTTTTATTTAAAAATTGAATTTAGCTCGTTTTCAGCTTTCCAAAAATATAATTTTGTATAGCCTTATACTGAGTGGTTTAAAAGTTATGACCACTTTTAAACCAGTAAATCGTACTAAGTTTACCTCTCTGTAGAAACTAAATGGATTGAATTGAAAATAAATTTTCAATTTTACAACATTGCAAATATCCTGAAAATGTACAAAATGAATATTTTTCGTCAATTTTAATCATACTGCTTACAGGATGGATCCAAACGCAAAAGTAACCTTTTCTCTGTTATTTTAAATGGATCATCCTATATTTTATATCGTTAACAGGAAGTATTTTTTAAAGTTAACACTATTCGAGATATTCCAATTAAAAAAAATTGAAGAAAAAAAAATTAAGGTTTCTTTTTGATCGAAGTACACGTTACAGAAAGAAGCAAGAAACATCAATTAAATACTATCTGGTATTATTTGTCGGTACTGCCTCTACAATTTGTAAAAATTAGAATACAAAAGAATTTTTCTATTAAACAATTATTGATGTTCAGAAGAATGTTTAGTTTGAAAGTTTAAAGAATTTGTTTGCTTGCCAAAAGGATTTGCCATGAGAGATATCCTTGAGGAATACAACCATTTAAAAAAGTATAAGTTTGATCTACTACGGAAAAACGGGACACTTTGTATAAATGCAACCAATTTTAAAATATGCAGCTTAAAAAGATCTACAACTTTTGTAATGATATTTTTTTAATATCTTCAATAATACCAGATATATTGAGCTTTTCCATACTAACGTGCCACCCTGTATAACAACGAACCATATACCGGGGCGCATCAAAAAATACTTTCTGCTTGCAGGATTTCGTTCAAAACTTATCGGTACTATCGAGAGGATCGCTCGACGAGAAACTCCGATGGGCTTTTTCTCTCTACGACATCAACGGCGACGGTTGCATCACTCGCGATGAAATGACCGACATCGTCAGCGCCGTCTACGATTTGATGGGAAAATTAGCCGAGCCCTGCATCGACGATGACACCGTCAAAGATAAAGTCGACAGGATTTTCCAGGTAAACCCATTCCAGTATACTAAATCCTCGACTTACCGGTGTATATCTCCACATTTTTTCAACACCAAACAAAACCGAATTTCCCATCCTTAATCTTCGACTAAAGGACCTTCCCTTCGACCAGCCGTTTCGCGATCGGTAATCGAAATTCCGCCGGCGAAAAGCGATTTATACACGGATGTTTTTTAAAGACGCCGGGCCGTTCGGGATTTGTACCAGCCGGGTTTTAATTAAAACTCACCGCGAGGGCCATCCCGGATGCTCCGGGAGCGGCCGCATCCTCGGGGAATCCCCGGCTCGTGCGGCAATTTACTAATTGTATCAAAGGTTCCCCGCTTCGAGCATTAATCCGATAAGTAAACCAAATCCAGTCGGGTTTTTTAGCTATAGTATAAGTCCCGGAACCGATGCAAATCGGGCGATAAACTTTGTTAAAAATTAAGCATTAGTAGACTCAAGTTGCGGTGTGATGTTGCAGAAAATGGATACGAATAAGGACGGTGTGGTGACGCTGGACGAGTTCCTGGAGTGCTGCCGCAAGGACGAGAGCATATCCTCGTCGATGGCGGTGTTCGATTCGTCGATGTGACATCCGACGTCGCCGCCCATCCTGGTGCACGAGGATCCGCCGGCTTGAAGGAGCTGTCGATCGACCGGGGATCGTTCTAATGTTGTCCGAATGCACTGGTTTAGAATCGGGCGATTATCGGGCGAGTTATCGAGCGATTATCGGGCGAGTTATCGAGCAACGAACGGTGCATATCGAAAGGGAATTCCTTCGATTTGCGCCGCAAAGGGTTTGGGATTACAGGGCCAGGACCGGCATCGGATGTCCTCGAATTTCGGGAAATCGTGTGGCGTGCTGGATAACAAGAAAATTCTACTGGAAGTTTTAATCTATTGCCGGTCCTCGAGTATTTAGATAAAATAGTATTTTCACATCCTACTAATCGAAAATATCGTTAAATTATGTGAACGAAACCTATCGGAATTCGGTGAAATATTCACCACAAATAATTAAAACTCACCGGACTTAATAAATATTGTAAAAGAAAATGGATAACGCGAGTATGCACAGAAAATATTGAATAACGAATAAAATCAATTAACTACATAATTGAATATATATTTTGCTATAAAACAAATCGTCTCGACCAAAGTAGAAAATAATAAACTAAACAATAAATTAAATTCCCGCCGTAATTTCTCGAGTTTCTGTTAAACAACGCTTTAGAAAGTTTTGAATATGAGGTTTGTTTTTAATCGTTTCGAAGTTATTTCATTCGTTTTCCCTTCTCTTTGAGTTGAGACAAACTTTAAAATTGCCAGCAGCTCTGCTTTAAGTACAGAGTAATTTAAGTACAAAAGGTAGGTTCTAACAAAAATTAACTCGTGATTATCGTACCAAATAAAATTTCCCATTTGAAATTTAGATGTAATTAATGTAGTTATGCACATATTAAATTCCTCTGTATATAATAGAGCTACTAAAATAACGACCATATTTAAAGAAATGGATATTTCGATGTTTTATATAATTGCTGGAGATATTCCTATTTATCCATATACTTTAGACATATCTGTGTTCTGTAAAAAATACAAAAAAAATTGTTGATGTTCTAGAACCGTTTAAAATAAATGTTTTTACTCTATCCAAGACATATTTCTATCGCAGGAAATATTACTTGGGTAGATTTTGGTATTAGTTTTATCATCGATGTGTGATTAATGTTAGGAAGACAATATTCGTTTCGAGTAAATTTAGCTGATCTACCAGTAACCAAAATTGTCCACGCGGAAATTGAAATATTAAAAGACATTTTGGCGACTGATTGTTTTAAATTGTTCGCGTAATTAATATGCAATTGGATAAATGGACGAATCCACTTGCAGTTTAATTATTTTATATACAGTGTTCCCTCTCGATATACTATATAAATATATTTTATAGAAGTTATTAGACGTTGATTTGAATGAGACAAAATGGTGCTTCGATGCGAGATAGAGTAATATTTTTTTGATAAATAGGCTAGGATGAACAAGTAATTTTACGAATAAAAATTTTATTAATATTGACTGTTTAGCCTAAATTTTAAGCGTATGAAATTCATGTTCGAATTTTTTTTATAAAATTATTATAGGCGTAAGAAAAAGGAAGCTGCCGATGCCGGTTAGGAAATTAAATGAATTTGGATGAATTTCCAAGTGTATTATAAAGTGTAATAAAAATTCTTATGAACTCAAATCACTGTGGCTTCCTCTTTTCGAATTTTGTCATTTTCTCTAACAGTTTAGTTATCTTCTCCCCTCCTGATTAAATGTTGTAAATCCGCACTAACATATCCCACAAAAAATACTGACACCTACAATACTTTTTTGAAATAAACCAACCAAATTCCACGGGAAGAAAACTGTACTGAAATAAATAGCAAATGATTTTTATAAATTGGAATTCTGGATTTTGTTAAGGTGTATTATATACATCTTTCAAAAATTGTTGCCGCATTTTTATTTATAGCCCTCTCAAATTAAATTCCAGGAGAATAAAAATTTGCAGCCATTAAAAATTCCATTCCGGCCCGGTTTAATTACTATTCGGATTTATGCAAGATTCGAGCCGTTTAAATATTAAAACATCCGTAATTAGGGATGTATCGATCGATGCAAATTATTCACGGAATTAAAATAATTGATGAGACGCGGAATTCCGATAGAAAACGGCACGAAAAACTGAAAAAATACCACCGCCCTTGTCTGTTAACTGTTTACACAACTTCGAATTGTTTCGAAATATTTACCTTGCGAGTTTCATCAACTCCTGTTTTGTTTCAAAACAGAACTTCTCCTTTTGGGAAACGAATAGTTCGCATCGCCCACATGTTGTCGGGTTAATATTAATTTCGTGTACGAATTTAAAACTCGCTAGTTTATTTATTTCGCAACTTTAGGTCGCTAGAACATTGCTAAATACTGAAATGTGATTATAAGCATTAATTATGTCGGATTACTGGACGCTTTTGAATAGTGCAAAGTACGAAAATGATCCTCTGCAAACCTAAAATGGAATTATATCTAATATATCCGGAAATGTATTGATTATTTTTTACTTACACCTACAAACGTGACCAGTGTTAATGGCGAGAATTTCCCTATGGACAAATATAACGGTCGTTGCATTCTCATCATCGTTATTATCATTGAATTTTTGAAACGCATACTGCTGCTGTACCAATCGCTTTCGTACAACGACGAGCGAATCAATTCTCCCTGTATTATAACAATTAAAAAAATTGTTTAAATAATTTGTATTAAACTTACTGACGTAGTGATTTCATTTCCATACCAACAGATCAACAGAAATTGCACCAAAACGCAGGAAAAATACTCCATTTGCGCGAAGAATTCCGGCGATGTCATCGATACCTATAGCAAATTTGTATTTAACTATTATCTTAACATCAATAAATTTATATTTCACTTACAGACGATGCTACGTAGAGACAAGAAGCAAATATCAACAGAGATGCCAGCGTTTGAGCTAATGTTACGAACGTAAACATAAATTCTATATCATTAGTAACACTAAAAATAACGAAATTACTAACTTTCATAGCTTTTATCAGCGAGTTATCACCTCAAGAGAGCCTGTAAATGTCTGGTGGTGTGCGACAATTGCCTGTACATTTCCCTTTCCAAAGCCACATGTTCGTGATCAGAAAACGTTTCATACCAAACAGGTAAACCCAGTTGGCTCAAACACCTCGATCTCAGCGTTTTGAACACGTTACAAACCACCAGAATCTGGCATTTGAGGCAATTCAGTATGGTAACCAGCACTCCATCGTAACCTAGGAAACAACCATTAAAAAAATCCCTAACGTTTCGTTGTAACAAATTTACAAGCTATCACCAAAGCGAACACCAGCAGACCGAAGTCCATGAAGAAAAAGGCCAACTTGCAGCGCTCCTTCGTGTTCGTTTCGAACGGTATCTTGAAGTAGTACTGCATGAAGTCCTGGCAAGTGAAATTCGTCCCTTCCAAGGAATCTCCCTCGATTATCCTGTCGAACGTTACAAGAGACGAAATGTGCGCCGATGCCCCGACACAACTGTACATGATCAGTACCTAGATAACAGATTAATCTAGTCATGTATAAGGAAGAGAGCAATCCAACAAAATAGCTAGTTGTAGTAGATACTTGTGTAGATACTGGGCTAGTTTCTGATCGAGATACTGGTCTAGATAATGGTCTAAATACTGGTCTAGATACTGGTCTAAAAACCTTGACTCTGGATATTTAAACCTAGAGAAGGTTTTAGATCTTTCGTGAATCTAATGTCCAGTCCTTTCAAACCTTCTTAAATCTTTGTATTCCCTCGAGCTTGCTCTGGAGTTCTCCAGATTGCTCCAGGTCTCTCCAGTATTGCAATTATTGCACTTTGATCTTCTATCAATAATAATACTCTTACCAACATAGAGAATTGGGCGCTGGTTTTCTTCCCTTCGACGAGGAACAATCCGGGCGAGAAATTCTCGTTGGGTTCGTAGAAATACCGGGAATCCTGCAGGATGTTCATGATCTTCTGGAGCTTCGTCCGGCCGAAAACTAGAATGCTGAATTTCAGGCAGCCCACCAGATGGGTGAAGAGCATGCCAATGTAGCTCACCAATTTGCTGATTTCTGTCGATACATCATTGACGATGATGATTTCGCACACGAGAAAGTAGAAGCCGAAGCCGTACAAGCAGAACACGTAGGAGAAATAGAAGGTTTTGGTGATGATCGAGTGGTGTTTGGTGGGTAACCACATGCCGGTTATCTTGCGGATGAGCTCGTTGGCTTCGAAGAAATCCGCCGGGTAGCCGTGTTTAGAGCGGGTTTCCGGTAACATCGTGGAGACATTGAGTGGAGCGAAGTAGGTCGCGCGATTTTATACCGAAATTAATTACCCGTTAATTAATATTCGATGTGAGAAATTAGAAAACATGACGCCTTCGTTAGGCGGATAGCCGTTAATTAAAATTTCCGCGGAATTTTCTATTTTAAAGTAGAAATCAAGCTTTAATGATGAAGCGAGGCTTAGCAGATGTATCTATAATTGATGATTAATTTTTTTCTACTGACATTTTAGTAAGCGTGCTTTGGAATTACTTTACTGTTTTGAAAACAGCAAAGTATGAAAATGACCCACGACAGACCTGTAAATAATTGCTCGTTTTTATGTTTACAACTATTGTTGTTGTTGTTGTTTACAACTAAGTACAAGAAATATATATTCTTACATTAACTAGAGTTGTGATGGTCAAAGGAGTGAATTTTCCGATAGTCAGGATAATAGGTCGTTGAGTCCGAGTCATTGTAATCAACATGGAACTTTTGAATCTTCTACTGCAACTGAACCAATCGGACTCGAATAAAGCTCTGCTCAAAGATTCCCCCTGGAAATATCCGATAGAATTCGATGTAAAATATATCTTACTCTACCTACAGCAACTGTGATTTCGTTACCAGACCAACAGATTAGACTCAATTGGATCAATACGCAGGTGAAAAATTGCATTTGGGCGAAAAATTCCGGCGAAGACATCGGTACCTCGAAAACAACAAATTTATTTCTACCACAGTACTTACTAAATTCAATTACATACAATCGAAGCAACGTACAAGCAAGAAGCAAAAATGAATAGAGAAGATAGAGTTTGAATAAGTGTCACGTACACTACCAAATCTTCTATATCATCACGAACACTAAAACAACCATTTCTATAAGTTCTATCATCTACAAGATGGATTAAAAGTATACCATTACGTACCCATATAAAAGCTGTACATGCTTAATCGTGTGATTCAATTGATTGTACATTTCTTGCTCCAACTCCGGTTGCTCTTCATCATGCATCACCTCCGTATTCTCGTTCAAATTTAACTTCAACAAACAACGTTGTCTTAACGTACGTACCACGTGTCCCACTATTATCAATTGGATTTTGTAGCATCTCAACAAGCTCATGTAAAGCCCATCGTAACCTTCGAGCAACAATTCAAACTGGTTACGATGTAATTTCCCGTAGATAAAAAATACTTACAAGCGATCACCCAGCCCCACGTGGCGAATCCCAAGTCCATGAAAGTCGATGCTAATATGCAATCGTTCTTCGTTTTCGTAGGAAAAGGTATGAGGAAGTAATAAGGCAGAAACTCGTTACAGGTTCTGTTAGTACCTTCGAAAGTATTGCCCGGTAGCGCCTTGTTCAACGATATCACAGCTGAAATATGAGCTGAAACTCCAACAAATCCGTACATCACGAACACCTACGAACAATTATCGTGACCTGGAGCTTCAAGGTGGAGCTTACCAGACTTGGTGCTTCTAAACAGTTCCTTCTACACTTACCCAATAGGTGATGTAATTACTAAATCGTTTCTCGTTGGAGAACATGGTACTGGGTCCGTTTTCATCCAGCGAAGCGTACTTGAAGTCGTCGTGCTGCAATCGATTTTTGATCGAATCGAGTTTGTCGTGCTGGAACACGAATATGCTCAATTTGATGATGCCCAACGTGTGGGTGAGGCACATGCCGATGTAGCTGAGCAACTTCGGTATGTCTTTGAGCATCTCCTTCAAGTAGAGGTACTCGCAAACGTTGTAGACGAAGCCGTTGGAGAACATGACAATGGAGTATGTATAATATGGTATGATGACCCATAAGGGTTGGTTGCTTTTGGGTCGCCATAGACCCGTGATGAATTCGGCCACTTCGTTGGCGTAGAAGAAATTGTCGGAGTAACCGAAGGTTTTCTTTCTGTTGCCGCCGATCATTTCGATATCGGTGAGGTTTTCTGGATTGCTCGGGGGTTATATAGCGGGATTGTTGGTTTAATATTTTAGTTCAAATTATACGGGAGTTACTAATGAGTATGCAAAGTTCGGAAGCGGGAGTTCTCACTATTAAATTTTAAATCGTATGTGATTTCGTCGAACGTGGAAAAGAATTGAGAATGTATTGGATTATTTAATAGTTTTTTTTAGTTTCTTGAATTCGATCGGTGAAGCATATACTAGATTTAATAACGTAAAATACATATACTACTTTTCCTTCATCTTGCCGATGGAAATTAGGGCTTAAAAATCCGAATAGCTGATCTACCTACACTTTATTTATATTTAAATTAATTCATAAATTTGACTCTACAATAATAACAAGTGCACCTAAATTATTTCACCGTTTTGAACACGGCAAAATAAGAAAATGACCCACGACATACCTGAAATATTTGTTCATTTTATATTCACTAGTATAAGAAATATAGATTCTTACATTAACTAGAGTCGTGATGGTCAAAGGAGTGAATTTTCCGATAGTCAGGATAATAGGCCGTTGAATGCGAGTCATTGTAATCAACATGGAACTTTTGAATCTTTTACTGCAACTGAACCAATCTGACTCGTACAAAGCTGCACCTAAAGACTCCCCCTGGAAATATCCGATAGAATTCAATGTAAAATATGTCTTACTGTACCTACAGCAACTGTGATTTCGTTACCAGACCAACAGATTAGACTCAATTGGATCAATACGCAGGTGAAAAATTGCATTTGGGCGAAAAATTCCGGCGAAGACATCGGTACCTCGAAAACAACAAATTTATTTCTGCCGGTACTTACTAAATTCAATTACATACAATCGAAGCAACGTACAAACAAGAAGCAAAAATGAATAGAGAAGATAGAGTTTGAATAAGTGTAACGAACACTACCAAGTCTTCTATATCATCACGAACACTAAAACAACCATTTCTATAAGTCCTATAATCTACAAGATGTAGTAAAATTATACCATTACGTACCCATATAAAAGTTGTATATGCTTAATCGCGTGATTCAATTGATTATACATTTCTTGCTCCAATTCTGGATACTCTTCATCGTGCATTACCTCCATATTCTCTTTCAAATTTAACTTCATCAAACAACGTTGTCTCAACGTACGTATCACATGCCCAACTATTAGCAACTGGACTTTAAAACAATTCAACAAACTCATATAAAGCCCATCGTAACCTTCAAGCAATAAATTAACAAGGTACTATTCTCACTGGCTTTATAAAAAAAACTTACAAGCTATAACGAACGCCCAAATGGCGAAACCTATGTCCATGAAAGTCGTTGCTAATATACAATCATTCTTCGTTTCGGTGGGAAAAGGAATGAGAAAATAGTAGGGCATGAAATCGTAACAAGTTGTATTAGTACCTTCGAAAGTACTGCCCGGTACCGCCTTGTTCAACGACATCAAAGCCGAAATGTGAGCGGAGATACCCACGAATGAATACATAACAAACACCTACGAAAAATTCTAAGTTGTACCACCAAGTTTTTTTAAATTAACTGCTCAATCTGGTGTTAATTAATATGTTTGTATCATCACCAGGTTCATGTGTTAGTTTGTGCATACTTACTTGTTACTATTAAGAAACCAACCAAAAGATGAATTATTAAATAAGAGATTAGATCCCAAACTGCACCTGGTACTTACAAAATAGGTGATGTAATTACTGAATCGTTTCTCTACGAGGAACATGGAGCTCGGTCCCTTTTCATCCAGCGATGCATACTTGTAATCGTCGTGCTGCAATCGATCTTTGATCGAAGCGAGTTTATCGTTCTGGAACACGAATATGCTCAATTTGATCATGCCCAGCGTGTGGGTGAGGCACATGCCGATGTAGCTGAGCAACTTCGGTATGTCTTTGAGCATCTCCTTCAGATAGAGGTACTCGCAAATGTTGTAGGCGAAGCCGTTGAAGAACATGAATAGAGAGTACGAATAGTACGGTAGGAGGAACCAAATGGGCTGATAACCGTCGGGTCGCCATAGACCCGTCAGGAATTCGGTCACTTCGTTGGCGTAGAAGAAATTGTTGTGGTAGCCGAAGATTGTATTTCTGTCGCTGCCGAACATTTTCGAAATTTAAGGGGGCTCCGGATTTTCTGGAGCTTTTATATTGGATTCGTGCCACACAAATTACATAGGTGGGTGGTTTTATTAAAGTTTTGAAGCGGAGTTTTGTTCAATATTACATTTTTAATCGTTACGACGAACAAAATTGATAAGTATAGGGGTTGTATAAGTTATTGTTATAGTTTCAAATCATGTACCTTATTATCTAAAAGAACTCTGCACCCTTATTGTGGGTATATGAGGATAATATATAATTTTTGAGTATTGAATGGCGTATTGTTATTCAACTGCTTTTCTTTACTATAATATATGTAATTTAAAACTTTGTTTGCCGCATTCAGAAGTTTCGTGTACCAAGTATTTTTGTAACCAACCGGTTATGTTATAACCGACCGTTAAATTTCATTGGGTAGTCAGAAGTTAACAAATTAACAATATTACAAATTTTGTTAACAGAAAACTTAAATCACCCGCCGCTGGAAATAACAGAAAAAGCTTTTTACAATTAAATTTATTAGATTAGAATTTTTTTATGATTCATCAGTCGAACAACGGAGACAGAGACAACTCGCGCGCTTCTCTATTAGTTGTTAGTTTGTGTTGGTTATAAGGTTATAAGCTACAATAAGGTAAGAAATTATAGTTAAGAATTGTAATTATAGAATTTGTGTGTTTATTAATATTAGTTCGGGGATCATATAATAAACTGTTGAATAGATTCAAGACCATATTCAGATTCAGCGCCCCATTTTAACCTTAAACAAGAATTTAAAGTCTCGTCTGTTTCTATAAACTGTCATCTGTCAAGTTCATTTTTCTTTCTTTTAATTATTCTATAAAATTGAACATTATTGTTTAAGTAAAAATTACGAAAATTATAAGTTAAAATACATATATTAAATTGAAACAATAACATTAAATAGATTAAGTAATTTATACAAAAAGAAGAATTATGTAATAGCTGTATTACATTCCCGAACGAGTCCGCGTAAATGTCACAAACGTCAAACCATAACCTCACTTTATTTGTTTTTATCTCGCGTTTGTTTACTTACACTTACAGAATGGAAGTCGTGAGTAATTCGTCTTTGAATAAATACGAAACAATCATTAACGAAATTAACGATGAACACGAAAAATCGGATCACTTGAACGATCAATTGAAACGCGAGAACAACAACCTGATTTTGTACAATTTAATCAGGAGTACGGCCATTAGCAAATTGTGTTACCTGAACGTGCAAATCTTCAACAATTTGGTGGATTTGTACGATTTGTACGGAAGCGAATTGGATAAAAACGCGCTACAAGAAGTTTATAATAAATATTGCAAGTATTATGTAGTGGAAGTTTACGTTACGAAGCATTTAGTGCAGAAACTAACGGCCTCCGATAGACTCATTTTATCCATACAAGGTGATGATTTATACACTTCGAAATCTTTACAATTAACACACGACGCTCAAACGATATTAGAAGTATTTCCTGTTGATGCGAGTATTACAAATTGCATAGTCGATGCATTTTTGGTGAACATGGAAACTTCGGTGGTTTTTAAACTAGATTTCGTGCATATAGATGTTTCTTATCATTTCGATAAATACAACAGGAAATCGGAAAATAAAGTGCATCACATTCTACAGTTATCCGGATTGTATAACGAACAAATCAACGCGTCGATTCTCAAAAATTGCTCGATTTCCTACGAAATGCAATCACTGATCGACAGGCGAATATTCATCGAAATTTTAATGCAAAACGCTTATCATAATCTATCGAGTATGCTGTCCGATAAAGACGATACTGATAAAAGCGATTTTGCTATTAACATGGACTCCGGTTTCTGGAAAATCGAGCTAACACACAATCGAAACAACCGGATCAAGATCAAGGGAAATTACTTAGACGTGTGGAGGTTAAAGAGGTATTTTTTCGATTTGTTTTACCAGAAATTCGGGAATACCGGCGAAACATTTCGACCTTTTAAGGTAAATATTCATATTTTAATCGATTGCTCGAATACATCACTCTTTTGCAGATCGATGAAGGATTACTATCAAATCTAGAAGGCGCTGTAAATATTTATAACAAACTAAGATTGTCGACCTAAGGATATTTCCATCGGAAAAGAAGAATATAATAAGTTTATAGTGTAGAAAAATACGCATATTAATTTATTCATTGGTCTTGTCTTATCTAATGAAAATACAACATTTTTTTGTCCAGCTATGCTTTTATTTTAATTCGTGCATTAATATTAATAGGTTGATTAAAAATGAGATACAAGATTTTTTTACTAAAATCGCAATTTAAATGGGCGACTCGTGGCAATAAATAAGATAAATCTGTTGTCGAATAATAAAATAAATTGTGATTAATTTTTTATACTAATAAATATTTTAATAAATAATCGATTCGCTATATTTAATATTTCTTATATTACAATAAAAAACTAGTTTTCAAATGAATTATTATTATTACGCACGCCCGTTTATTAATGGAATACGAACAATAAATTTTTTGAAATGATTAAAACACTTAAATATACAAAAGTATACAAGATGTTATTTAAAACATGCTAATACTAAAGGGGGTGATTGTTGGGATCATTTTTCCTAAACGTCTTAACTTTTAAGATATAGGGTGTTAAAGTTTTAAGAAAAAAATAATTTTTTACTGTCATTTCCATACCACTTTAAATATTATTATGAAATTTGGTGAACGGCCTTTATGCATTAAAGACAATTTTTTTATCTAAAAAACATTTAATTATTTTCAACAGTGGCGTCCGTATTGGACTCAGGCCAAATATTTTTGAGGGTAAAAGTAGTACGCCACTGCTTTTTCTTGAAATAAAAATTATTTTTGGAGGCCCCGATCAATTTAGAACAAATTTGATTTCTTGAGAAGTAAATTTTAGGTTTAGGATATATGTTCATATGAAGTTTTTTTCTTAAAATATGTCCAAGAATCACCCCCTTCAGTATTAGCATGTTATTAAAAAACACCCTGTATAAGTAACAGAAAAACGATACTTACTCTAAATATTTTGAAGTACAGAATAAAAGTAGATTTACAATAAAACAATATTTATGTACAATTGAATTAAAAAATAAATAAATTAAAAAAAAAAATCCTATTCGGATTACATTTAACTCTTAACATTTAAGTACAAAACGCCTTATTATTTACAAACAAAACTTAATTTCTGCATATCATACAGTATAATGAGAACAATCACTATACATTTAACACGTCCACCGGCAGTCCTACCACCTAACATCTACTAAATCGAGCAATTGTTGTTTATCTTCCTGTTGGGCCTCACCTCCGCCAAGGACATCCTCCTGGTCTCCTCGTCCTCCTTGATAGAACTAGAGAGCTTCGCCCCCTTCGTTTCGGGCAACAGCAGCACGCACAAACCGCCGAGGATGCCGCACAGCGCCAGCACCAGCATGGGCAAACTCCGGTGGAAATCCGCCTGAAACCGACAACGAATACACCCGATACTCCACGAGCTGTCACAACTTACCAGAAGCCACAGATAGGGCACCAGCATCAGAGCAATGCCGGCCGTCACGTTGGCAGCGCCCACTCCAATGTTCCTGATGGTCGTCGGATACAACTCAGCAGCGTAAACTGGTATGATAACGTTGGAGGAACTGATGCAAAATTTACTGATCATCGTCAAAGATGTTATCACCCACTGGAGATTAGAATCTATAAAGTATATGGGTAGAGTCAGAACGCACGCTATCCCCGATATAATCATCGACAGCGACGAAGGCCATCTTCTTCCTTTCTTCAACAGAATGTATATGCTGATGGCTACTGCTGGTACTTCAACAATCCCTTGCAAAGCCTACAAGATTATAACAAATTACTACAAACTTTACACATTTTATTGGAAGTAAACCTACGGAGTTGACATACAAATTGCCGCCGATGTTGCCCAAGTTGAGCACCAATCCATAGTACACCAAGTACACGCTGAACCAGATGACGAACTGACAGAAGGTCCTCTTCCTCATCGGGGCGGTCTTGAAGAGATCGAACACGGAGACGTCCTCCACCGGGCCGGCGTTCGTCTCCGGTCGAATTTGCTTGTCCAAATTCGGCGGTAGCTTCTTCTTGTTGAACTTGGCCGCTCGCTCGCAGATCACCAGCACCTCCTTGGTGCGGCCCATGGCCAGGAGCCATCTGGGCGATTCCGGCAACACCCACCTAGACCCACCTAGATGATTTATACGGCTCGAAGCGCTAATTGAGTACTCACCAAAGTGTGAAGTAGATGAATCCTGGTAGGGATATGGCGAGTTGGAAGTGCCTCCAGTTTCTTAATAACCACCCGATGCCGGATATTGTTACGTAGCTAATGGACACTGGAAAGAGGTAGGATATACCTGTGACTGTCCTCCATTCGCCTCCTACTAGTTCGATGGAAAGAACGAAACCGCTGAAGACTACTGAAACCGATATGAAACCCAGCATGGCTCTTACGATTGCGTAGAAGAGAAACCAAGGACTGAAAGCTATCAGTGTGCCTGAAACGAAACCACTAATATAACAACTGTAGGTGTTAATAGATGTAAAATTAATTTACCGAGGATAGTTTGGAATGTAACGGATATCATTAGGGTCCTCTTACGCCCGTATTTATCCGACATAATACCGCTAGCCAGTCCTCCCATAGCCACTCCAGCCAGGAACATCATCTCAGCCAAATTTGGCAAGCCGCTCCTGTCGCACACCAACCCGAAATCCGATATGATGCTGCTACCTGTAAACGCCAAACTGCACAATCTTCCAGCAGTAATTACCACCAATCCGTACAGATCATCACTCACCTACGCCGTCGAACTCCCAACCGGTGCATTTCACCGTACTCATCGTACTGCCATTCGCACTGCACAAAGTCGTCCTATCGTAACCCGTCACGTCGTACATCGCGCACGAGTCTCTCTCACTTTGTCCCGAACAATTCGTCCACTCCGCCACCGACATGTTCCGGAAGGCCTCCGGCCGGGCGCACCAGAAGCTCCGGCGCTCGCCCACGTGGAATGTCGGCGCGAATATGTGAAACGTGCACGGTATGTTGAACAGGGACAGCGCGAACGTGAGCAGCAACTGCCATTTGCCGAACTCCCCGATCGCCTTCGAGATGGCGTCATCGTCCTCCGGGTCGTGCTTCTTCTTGGCGCCGTCCGGCAACGCTGCAACAACACCAACAGTTACTATCTCGCCAGGTTGGAAACCTATGCTACCTTTCTATGCCCAGACGATTTATCGTTTCTTAGTTTACCCTAGCCTTTGCTAGTCTTCCCTGGTCTTTACTATTCTTCCCCAGTTTTCCCTAGACTTCCCTGAACTTCCCTAGACTTCCATAGTCTCTTTCCAAATCTCCCCAACTCTTCCCAACTCTTCCCAACTCTTCCCAACTCTTCCCAACTCTTCCCAACTCTTCCCAACTCTTCCCAACTCTTCCCAACTCTTCCCAACTCTTCCCAACTCATCCCTACTCATCCCAACTCTTCCCAACACTCCCCAACTCTTCCCAACACTTCCCACCTCTTCCCAACTTTTCTCAACTCTTTCCATCTCTTCCCTACTCTTCCCAACTCTTCCCAACTCTTTCCAACTCTTCCCTGCTCTTCCCAACTCTTCCCAACTCTATTCATGTAAGAGAATAGCAAGGAGAGTAAGAAATAATATTGAATTTATTTTATTTAACTCTTCTTACGAGTGTAGATTTCACAATAACAGATTTTGAAGAAGATAACAGCGTGTTGGTGGTACCCTGGTGAATGAGTGTCATGAAGCAACGTGTTCGATTATGTAACCAAGTTCTTTCAAAATTTCTTTGAAGGTTTACGATGGATATACGATATATATTCGAGTAAATATAAGAACCGAGTAGGATTTCATAATAAATTGGCCAATAGCGAATATAAAAAACGCATTTATATTTCTCAATTAACGCATGATTTATTAATTTTCGGTGCTACATCAGGTCGGGCGTTGGATTATAAAACTTCCCGGTTTCACCCTGTATATTACGCTACACAATAAAACACCTATTATTACCTTAGAGAGGTTAGCAAAAGCGTATACTAGAAAGATTTATGGTCGGCAGCGAGTCATAAATTTAAAACAATTCACGGTCCTCAACCTAGCGCATGTATAGGGGGGTTCTGAGGCCTGCGACAGATTAAACCTAATTGCCCGATCCCCCACAAAAACACAAACAGAATCGAATTAGCTCTTCCTACCAGCAACTCATTGTAATATTATTTTTCTAAAATAACGCGTTAGTATCTTAAGCAGCATTTTGCCCACTCAAGTACCGACTGTGCTCCATTAAACCCGCAAAATATGTACCGGAACCTTGGTGAGCAACAAATTACCCACTAATAACAGCAATAATAGCTCATAATGACGAGCTCGCAAACTTTCCCCCACATCCTTAAAAAAAAAAACTAGGTAAAAAAAATTACCTTGGCAATTATCGAATTACTACTACTACTAATTAACCGAGAGTTCGGGCGATATCGCAGCGGTACTTACGCAGGAGCACGTCGGCGGCGGCGTCGCGGGCGTCGCAATCGGCCATTGTCAGCGTCGGGACGAGCGTTTCACCAAGTTTTCAACTCGTCATCGAAATGGAATCGACGACGGAATGGATCGACGTTGGAAACAACGTGGTGTTAAGTAGGTATTCAAATTTTATTCGAAGAAAATATTCATATATTTTTATGTACAGGATGGTGCTTGATTAGCTAGGCGCGGAATCGTTCGGGACTGGTTTCGAGATGGAGATTCGCGCTGTATATATTGCGGGGAAAAAAGATAAATGCGAATTTCTGCGCCATTATGAATATTCAAATTTATTTATTTATTTTAGTATACGGCGAATTGACGAGTCTTCGTGGATTCCTGATGACTTAGAGCTCGGGAAATATGCAAACTGCATGTAAAGTGCCTAAATGTTATTTCTATTAAAATTCTATGCGTTTATATGAAATGTACATATTTTCAATAATTTCCGGATTATTTACATTTAAAAGAAAATTTTTAAGAATATTTGTCGCGGTAATTAGGTATGGTGCCGGTCTAGTATGCGGTTTAACTACATATTTCGTCGCCCGAGTATATTTAAATACTTTGAAAGGTGAAAACTGAAAATTTTTGTCCACTTAAACTTTTTCCTCCTATACAGTTTTCGAGTTTTCTGTACTAAACATAAAAAACTCGCGCTGTGTATAATTCTGATACTTCAGTAATTCCCAATAAATCGAATTACTTTACCAGCTATTCCATAATACTAAGAAATTATCTTTTTATTTGCTTCGGTGATGACCAATAAATGGATACATACATAAATAATCGATGGTAATTTTAATTACGGGTTATTGGGGAACGGTAATTTTTTTATGAATGAAGCGGTTTTGTAGGTCGAATTGACAAAAAACTAGGTAGTATTTTGACGGTTCTTTTTTTTTCTCTCGCGTTAGATAAATGTTAATTCATTAAAATTCAATAGTATGCATACGATTTTCGTGCCGCACATTTCATTATATTTGAAAAATATCTTCAATATGTTAATTATTAATTTATTGATTAATTATGAGAAACCGCACGTTTATTCTCGAGATGTTTATTTTGTCGAGTAATTATTATTAACCGACGTTTTTATTCATTAAATTTATGAGTGTTTTTGAATTATTACAATACTATAAAAATATTTTCGTTCTAAACTGATTATGTAGTTTCAAATAAAACTACCAATTGAAAATGCACTCGTTATTTACACACTTACTATAATTCCACTCGCATCTAATCTCTATTATTTAAACAAACGATAATATTGTGAAAAAACAATTCATAACAACTATCAAGCAGGTAAATTTAATGCAATTGATTGACGGAAAATTAAATCGTTTAAACGGCAATAAGAAAACCATTAAACTAAACTCATTATTATCCCATTTATGTCAACCATTATTTACGATGTCCAATTATTTTTAAAGAATTTAACGCCTTGTTATCCAACAATTCGTTGCATTTCCCACTTATATTAGAACACATTCGATGAAATGAACGAAATGAGCACTTTACACGTTAATCATACGACAAGAGATAGTGAATTGAGTTTCGAAAAGTATCTAAAATAGTTTGCGTTAATAGGTTTGGAGGTAAATTGCAAGACCCGCGGGATGACCGGATGTATCACCTATTGAGCAATGTTACAGCATTGGAAAAAAACTCACCCAAAAGCCTTTCCGATACGCGAATATCTTCCATGATCGCGAATTGTGTCCATAAAATTTTTTTCTCCGAAATTCAGGCGATTTTTGGAAAAACGAACCTCCGCGATCGGGCGACGATTGCGCACTGCATTCGCGAAGACCAAGATAGATTTATCTCTATTTTATTAAATTACCGCACGTAATTTGTGCAAACATTTATCGTTTTTTAGGCAGCTAGTACGCCGTCCCGCAATAAATTAATTACCCGTACAGGGTCGTACCAGGGGGGGGATTTTTCCCAATAAATTCGAAACGCGTTGGAATCGTGGGCACCAAAGCGACACCTCGACGGACACTAAACGTGCAGGAACGAGTTGTTTTGCTGAAAGAAACTCGTTTTTAATTCGGAGACGCATCATCTCGAAAATAACCAAACGAAAGTCAAACTCACGCCTAATTTAAATAATATTATTCATTAAAATGGGCTTCAGTTGTGCAACTTGCTTGAGAATATTTACATTCCGTATTGCATCTTTATGCGCACTTAAAAAGTATTATCTTCATTATTATGAAATCTTCTAATCGCTGATATAGTTTGCTATTTTTCGTATTATTTTATTACCTTATTATATAGCAATTATGGAAATTAAATCTAAAGTAAACATTACACAAAAAGTTTTTACACGACTGTGTAAATACAATAAAAAATATGTTAAATAACATTTATAAAGAATCACCCTGTAATCAAAAAAATTCACTTTAGTAGATTAGATATAGTGGATTACTTGTATATTTGAATCGAACTAATATTTGTAGTAAAAATAATCCAGGAAAAAACCTTTCACCTTAATAACAAGATATTTTTTAAATGTCGAACAACCTCAGAACAAAATCGCTTTATTATAATCCCAATCAGTACCAAAATATTAAATTTGAAGTTACTGTTGAAGAAAAAAAAATACATGGTACAGATCTACAGATATAGCTGAAGACGCGGCTTGCGCGACTTTTAAGGCAGAAAAATAATCCTGCCGCACTGTACACCTTTTTATTACAATGATTTACCTTTATATTTACCTACTTAAGAAAATTAATGATCCTATAAATCGAGTTCTTTAAATCTCCATTAATCATTCGCGTGTAATTAGCGAGTTTGTTCGGCTCGAAATCAGGCGTATTAATAGTAACAAACATACATAAATAAAATTGTTTAATTGTGTTTGCACTTTTTCGGTAATTATTTTTTTCCATAATTAATTACCGGGCTCAACAGGCCGATTAGTACGAAGGGATTAGTAATTAAGCGTTCTTACATATTCCCGTTAATTAAATTTAATTAATATAATCGATCGACCGGCCATCCTTCGGCGCCTTTAGCTTGGACAAAATGATCGATTTGTTGATTAAATTTAACGTTTTTTTTTAAATCAAGGTTAAGTGTAAACGTATTCGGTATACGAGGCGCGATCCGAAAGTTCTCCTACCGTGATATAAATCAAATACAACGTCATTCGAGCGGCTAATGGCAATAATTTACTCATCATTTCCATTCTAACACCGCCAGAAAAACGGCCGGTCAATTTAGTTTATGTTTTTTAAATTGTATTCAATTGCAACCGTGCTAAATCGTATAAAAAAACATTTCAGCTTGACAAATGACAGTATTAGAAAACTTATCAATTTTTGTACACGAGTTCGCTTCCATTAATAATCGTAATCGAAAACTAATCGTCTGCAATGTATGCAACACAAATTACGTACAGTTTACTGAACTATTCGGAGTGTCCTCGTAGAGTTTTAAATGCACAAAACCGAGGGGTTAATGGGAAATGGAATTGATGCGGAAATTGTAATAATTCCATGGAAAGGGAAACAGGAAATAGGAAAATGCGGTAAATTATGCACCGTAAATTTAAAAATCCAATGCATCAGATAAAACTCGAGATTAACTTGATGCTGATATAAAA